ATGAATGTTGAAACTAGTCAACTTTTCTTTTCTTAATTATTCTTTTATTTAAAATACGATTTCAAATATGTTTATGGGAATTAAATGTTGTGCAATTTTTTTTAATTATTTTCCTTATCAAAATTTTGATTTGTCAATAAGAACTTTCATATTCAATGAATTTTCTTTTTTTTTTTCCCCTCTTTTGTCTGATGCCAAAAGAGGGAGGTTGTTTGTGTTTTGGTTTTGTGTTTTGATTTGAAGTTCATGTGATACTAGTTGTTTATGTTTGTTTAAAGTTTTTTTTTTTGTCTCATGTCATAAGGTCATTTTGGTGTTTGTATTTTAGTGCATGTTTTTTGTTTATTTTTTAAAATCAAAATAAAAAAGGAGGAACAAAATTCTTTTTACCCATGATTTTTATTTTATTCATTGAGGGGGAGCTTAGGAGAGAAGAATTTTTATTTGTAATTCAAACAATAAATATATTTGACATTATAAAAAAAGGGGGGATTATTATAACTCGGACACCACTAGGAAAGTGGTGGGCTCAGATATAACTGGCACCTCTACAAACTTAATGATTGAAAATGTTTCTTTAGTAAATGGTTTAAATCATAATTTTTTAAGTATTAGTCAACTGTGTAATAAAGGATTTGATATAAAATTTCTTTCTAAGAAATGCATGATTAATTTTAATAAAAAATTTGTCTTTGAAGGAAATTAAATGAATGATATTTACATGTTAGACTTGAATTGCATTGAATATTCAAATTCCTTTTGCTTAAAAACTATAATTGATGAAAATTGGCTATGACATAGGAGACTATGTCATACAAGCATGAAAACTCTTAGGAATATCACCCAAAAAACCTAGTTAGAGGCATACCTAAGTTAAATTTCACTAAGGATTAGCTATGTGATGCCTGCCAACTAGAAAAACTTGTTAGGTCTTCATTTCATTCAATCGAAGATATTAACACCTCTAGGCCATTAGAAATACTTCATATGAACCTATTTAGACATGTTAGCATATATTATATTATATTGTGCAAATATTTATTCATAATGTACGATCTACGTGTAGCTAACCTTTGAAGAATTAAATTTGTTTGGTATGAAATTATTGCCAATCGTAAGGTATGATACATCTCTTCATGCTGAAGAATATACGTGTTAAACTAGATTGGGATGAATTCAATTAGGTTGATATGATAATAATTGTGTTTATTACTATACAAACATCTATTCGTAGTGTATGATACCTTTTGATAAACATCTTACCTATGACTTCTCGAGATGAATGCAAGTCCTTGAGATCATTAGTATGATACTCGATCGTATAATTTGACCACTTTTTCTGACAAGTCATGCAGATGAATTAACTTCTCTGATCATACTGTATGATATGCCCTAAAATTTATAAATGGGATGGATGTTTGCATTTCAATTCACCTAACTCCCTCAATTTTATACCCTCTGAACATTAACTATAATGGCTGGTGGAAGCAAATGCGGCAGAATGACCCAGGGGAGCTCTACCTCTTCTCATCGCTTTGATGATTATTTTCTATCCGCAAGGAGTGAAGATGTATACTACAAGTTTAAGGAGGCTAGAATCACCCCATCTAGGATGTTAAATCAATTTTCCCTTAACTTCAAGGTGATGATCCTCTTTGCCTCCACCACTCTTCAATTTCTACTAACACTAACTTTTCCCTTCAATTCCGAACTACTTTATGAATTATTAGCAAACCTTAGGCTAAATATGGAAACTTCTACCATGGTTTGATATGTTTGTCGATAACCTATAAAAATCACCAAGGAAGATTTAGGGGAACATATTGGTCTTTTATCAATGGACCTCATCCAAAATCCCTTATCTCTACAACTGACTTTGATTGGAGTTCTGTAAACTTGACAATTAGGAATGTGGCCATAAACCAACATCAACCATTAGTCCACACCTTAAATTAGATTGCCTGTGTTATCCAGCATGTCCTTAGAACCTTAATTATACCAAAAGCTAGAGATTGTGTCAATATAACACCACTTATTTCCATAGTCACCTTTCTAATAATATCCAATAAACAATTTGATAAAGTATAAATGATTCTTGATTATGTCTAAAATATGAATCCTAATCGACATTCCAATAGATAAAGAAAGCAAAATGTCGCATTGGGCTATGGAATAAGATAAATATTAGAGAAAAATACCAAATCAACTTTCCTTCTCCTCCTGATAACGTTCTCATTTTCTATAAGAATGCCTCCTTCCGTATCCTTTTCCATCAGGGGAATGAGCATGATGAGCCAAAATTTGTTGATTAAGGGGAAGCTGCTCCTGTAGGTGGACCTGCACTACCACCAATACCACCACCTGCACCTGCCTACCCTCACGACAAAATAATTCAGTGGCTCAAGAGATTAGAAACTAGGCTTGACTATCACATTCAACAACAACAACAACAACACGAGGAAAAACGAGATGGTTTGAAGAAATCCTCAATTGACAATCAATTTACCTCCATCCATTAATACTTTAAACCCCACCCCCACCACCTAACTAGGATCTACCTTACCTTTAGTATTTGTTTGTTATAATTTTTTGCTTTTACTTCTTATAATATTGACTTTGTTTGTTGTTACTTCACTTTTTGATGATGTCAAAAGGGGGACAAAATGTATGTTTGGTTATATGTTCCAGTTTAATATAATCCTAGGTTTGTTTTACTTTATTTTCTAATATATATATTTTTTTCTTTTTTCTTTCATAAAAAATTGCAACCCCTAATTTTTAAAACTATCACCTGATGAGAGGGAGCTTAGGATAAAAGAATTTTTATTTTGCCTATTAATCAATATTGTTTATCATCATAAAAAAGCTATCAATCAATATTGTTTGTTATAATAAAAAAGTGGAAGATTTGAAATCCAAGATCTGCTGTTTGTGATTTTGATGCTAACAAATATTATTGATTGAATTGTTTCTTTTCTCATTTAATATTTTAGATTTTTTTTATATATATTTGAGCACTAAGATTTTAGGTAAGCCATACACATCTCAAGGCTACTGAGTTCTCAAGAATGGGTAGAATAGGAATGTTAAGTAAATAAAGTATGTAATTTTAATTTTTTGTTTTTAATTTCATGAGTCTAGCCCCATAAGAGTGTATAAAATTGGGTGACCGTGCACACAAACAAAGCATAAGTGAGATAAATTTTAAAAGTTAAATTTTGTGTACTAATCATACTTTATAATTAGTATAGAAAGAATGGGCTTAATGACAAATTGAATAATTTGTTTCTATGAACTAATCATATTGTACAATTTATAATCATGTTGTATAATTCGTTATGATTTCAAAACCTAGCCACTGGATAAATTAAGTATGATGATGAGAGTATGGGATGACTTATATAGATGATGGGAATCGTCCTATGAGAATAAGAGAGAAAAACTAACATATCATATTGGACGATCTTTAGATCATATTGTACGATGTGTTAAAAAAGTTGAACAGTTCATTTGAACATCTATTTACATTATACTAGATGGATCTAAAATTTTAAATTGTATTATACAAACTCAAATCATACTATATGAAAAATGATAGGTAACTTGAATTTTTAGGGTTTCTTGAAGACAAATATTTAAGAAAAGCTTAGATATTCTCTTTGTATTAGCGAGAGGATTGTATGAATACTGAAGGAACTCTAAGAGAGAAGTTTTTTAGAAATCATGGGTTAAAGAGGAAGGGGAAGGTGAGATTGAGCGTGAGGGAGAAGTGTGAAGGGATCACATGGTTGCTCCTGGCTAGCTACACCCTTGCTCCTCTTGTGGCCTTGGTGAGTCTTTGAAAGCTCTCTTAAGAGAGAGGCTTCTAATTTAAGTCCTCTAAGTACTCAGCCAACTTTAGGAGGGAGAAAAAATAGCTAACGTTCTCTACCTTCTCTATGATGGAGAAAAAGAAGCTGAGGTTTTGTGACTTCTCTCGGATGGAGAAAAATAAGTCAGGGTCCATTTCCATCACCGGGAGGGTGACATAGCATCCGGCACTCCGCTACATCAGATTTGTTGAAAGAGATTCTATAAGGGCTTCTCCGCTTTGATGTGGGAGCAAAACAAGAATCACTTAATGTTAGTGCAATAGTTGAGCGAAGGACTCCGAGGAGTGGATGTAGATTAAGGTTGACCGAACCATTATAAAAATCTCTAGTGTGTTTTTTTACTTTTTATACTTCTATTTCTATTGTATTTTATTTTTGTTATAATTGCTTGGGAAAATGGGTGATTATTGCTTTGTTTCATAAATAAAAATACCATTATCGTTAAATAAATATTTTTGATAAACTCATTCGCTTCCATAATTAATTTTAATTTAGTATTTTCAATTTATGAAAACTTTTTAAAAAATATTGTCATCGTTATTTTGAAGTTGGGAAAAATTTTTAAAATTACCAATTTACCTCCCCACTTGGTGGGGCTTGGGCTAGTTCCTTAAGGTTTAAGAACATTCACCAACTTTCAATTATGACATTATTCTACCAAGTTTTGATAATGAATCAACCTAGTCAATTGCCCTATTTGATCTTCAGCATTAGGTTGATTATTCATTTTCATTTCTAGCTAGAGAATAATATTTTCCAAGGATTCCTTCATATTCCTTTGATGATACATTTGTTCAAATTCTATTGGGGAGTGCTGCACTGCTACATATCTTGGCGCAACGACACTATATCTCCTAAGATCACTAGTACCTTCAATTTATCTGATTTCTTAGAAGTTGTATCAACTTAAGAAGTCAAAATAGATAAAGAACCATTTTTATAAACTCCAACCACTCTCTTAGGATTCACCTAATTAGCAGAGCACTAAAAATTGTTTGTTTCCATTTCATCTCATAAGCATCTTCATAAGGCATTGTCATCAAAGAACCTCCAGTTCTAGCATCAATTATGGCTCTATAGAATCTTACTAATCCACTTTAAAAAGTATGAATTATCACCCAATCAGGTAAGGCATGGTGAGGGCTCTTTCTAAGCATCTCCTTGAATCTCTCACAACTCTTATAAATAGAGTTTCCTTCTTACTGAGTAAAAGAAGTAATGTCACTTCTAAGATTAGTAGTCTTAGAAGGTGGGAAATACTTTTTAGAATTACGTACTTTCTTATAAATAGATTTCCCTTTCAACTCACTCTGTGAGGAACTAAATAATTTCTTACATAAGTCCTCATTGGGCTTGTAGTTATTAGGTCCTCTCAAATGGAGAGGACTTATGTAGTACAATAAAACTTTACAAAATAAGGATTATAATGTATTGCTTACTCAGAGTTGCATCTTACAATTTTTATTTAGATAATGAGGTCTGATTCCAGTTCTAAAAGAACTTTAGATGGCTAAAATTAGAGCCAAGAGAAGAGGAGGTATTATTAAGGAGTGAAATTTAAAGGTTGAGAACACTTCAGGACTCCTTAATGGGGGCATCCTAAGTAAGAAGTCGAAGGGAAGAGCTTATGCTAGCTAATGTAGCACATTTTTACTACATGGTACTCTAGGTCTATGTTAGGGCTATCTTTACTTTTAAAACCGGACCACCTTCTTTACTTACTGCTGCCCCTAATGAATTCTTTCTATAGGCATCTTTCATGGAAGAAAGGAATAATTAATGTGTCAGACATAAGGAAAGATGTCCCATATTGGTTACGAAGCTCTCCAAAAGAATGGTCCATTATCATGGGTTTTACATTGGAATTTAAATAAATATACTTAGGTAAGACTAAACACAGAATGAACCCCTGCCTAACCTAGGACCAAATAAATATTCTGACTGGCCTTCAACTTAGTTTTAATGAGAAACCAAGTAATCATGGGTTTAACATTGGAATTTAAATAAACAAACATAATTAAAAAATTTGATAACTGAAACATTTTATTAATATATATATATACATTTAAAAGGTTTTATTTTAACTAAAGATGGAGAGAGAAGTCTTCCCCAAATGAGTTGCTAGAAAAATCTATGAATAAATTTTATGTTTGACACATGATTTATTGTAAATGTTTTTTTTCCTTAGTTAAATATGCATAGCTTAATATTATACCATCCTAAGAGACAGATTAATATTTCACTATCAATTTGAAAAGAGAAACTTAATTTATTTCATAATAAATATAAAAGAAGAAATATTTAATTTATCTAAAAGGATAAAAGAAATATTCACTTATAATTTTGATTATGAAACAAAACTAATTTATTTTCATAATCAATTATAATATAAAGAATATTTACTTCATTCCAAAGGATAAAAGAAATATCTCTTATCATTTTGATTATGAAACTAAACTAATGTTTAAAGTTATGTCTGCATCTACAAATTATTCTCCTATCCTAGAAAGGAATTAAGGTTCACTTTATTTTTGCAATGGGTTCTAAACTTCCTATGAAGGAAAGTTCCTATAGTTAATTACATCACAAAAGAGAACATTCTTGATTAAAGTGAAGATTACAATTTTTCAACTTTTTATAGATTTAAGGAATTGGTTTGGGGTACAAAACTTTTGTATATAGACTTTAGATTGCATATTTTAATTTGGATTTAGGGTTTTAAACTTTAGGATTTGGACTTTTTGAATTATACAACTGGAAGAATATGTAGAGACTGATGAGTGTAACTTATATCTGCTTAGAGTAGGCTTCCAACTAACAATCCTAAACATAAATTAATTATTTTATGAATGTATATATATATATATATATATAATTGATCAAATTATAACTTAGGGTCTATTATAAAGTAAACATGGCTAGATTCCACCAACAAACAAGCCTGAATTTTTATTCATATACAAATATAGGTTTAAATATAATAATTTATTTTTGTATTAAAATCTTGTGGCTCCTAGATCTTCTATAGAATTTTGAAAGATAATGATCTTCAATGGAAGATGAATATTTTCTTTTTGGAACTTACAAGCATATATAAAAATAAAATTACTAGATGGACAAGAGGAGGGGTGAATTGTGTAAACTTTATTGCAATAATTAAAACCTAAGCAGAAGTTCGAATTTTTGATGTTTTTTTTTTTTAAATTTAACATGAAAATTTAAAACAACTTCTAAGGCAACGGGAAACAATAAAATCTTTTTCTTTCACAATTTTTCCAAGACAATATTATGAAATAAAAATGTACGGAAGAATAAAAACAATAAGGAAAAAACACACCGAGATTTTTATAGTGGTTCGGTCAAACCATGACCTACGTCCACACCCCGGAGTCCTCCGCTCTGAGAATTTCACTACCAACAAATTGCTCTCCTTTTCTTCCCCTCGGCTAGGCGGAGAAGCCCTTACAATACTCCCTTTCACCAACCCGGCGTGGCGGAGTGCCAAGCGCTATTTTCACCCTCCTGGTGACGGTAGAGAACCTTCTCGTTTTTCTCCCTCCTGGAGAAGGCTGAGTACCTTCGAGGTCAACGGACGTAGACGAGTCTCCCCCTTAGAAAGCCTCCCACAAGTTATTCTCGGGCCACAAGAGGAGCAAGTTGTAGCAAGATCGGAGCAATCGTGTGATCTCCCTCACACCTCTTCTCCCTCACCTCACCTTCTGCTTGCTCTCTAAACCCCTCAAACTTATCAAGAGCTCTCTCTAGGATTTTCTCTCTACTCACGTTTTCCTCTTCTGTCTCTCTCTCTCAAAACATAACAAGTTTTACACATACAAATGGGCTCCAAAATCCCTGAGATTTCAAAAGTAGCTGTTACAATCGTACAATACGATTATTGGATGTACAGTACGATATGTACAAACTAGCTTCGTCCTGGTATGAAGGTGTACAAATAGTTCAAAAACTAATCGTGCAGTATGATAATATATCATACGGTAAGATTCACAACTCACTACTCGTACAGGATGATAGCCGGGACGATCAAATGTCATCTTTGTTCATTGTATGGTACGATCTACATCGTACCGTATGAATAGTGAAAATCAAGGCATCGTCCAGGATGAATTCTGGGACAATCAAATATCGTCTCTGTTCATCGTATGGTATGATAGTAATCGTACAGTACGATGAGACAAAAAACACAGGATCGTCTAGGACGATCTCCAGGACGATCATAATTCATCTCTGTTCATCGTATTATACGAAGGGGTTTGTACAGTACGATTTTCAATTTGTAATTAAGCCTTGATTTCTTGCACTAATCACAGGTTAAATTAAGTATGTATTTAAAAAATATCGTACCGTACGAATGTCATCATACAATATGAACGGTGCAAAATATCATACTTGACTTATCATGACGGCTAATGTTTTGGATTTGAAATAGATCGTACCGTACGATCATATTCGTACAACGATGTGTTCACAGAACACGTGTTATAATAGTAGATCGTGCATTACAAAATAAATTCATACAGTACCATTACCAGAGAATGAAAATCTATATTTCTTACTTTTAAAAACCCTCTCTCTCTCTCTCTGTGCATGATTGCTCAGACTTACCTGCAGTTTGTGGCCAGACTCAAGAAAATAAAAAATAAGATAAATAACAAAATACATTTTCCGACTCAGACTCCTAATCCAACTAGTCTAGAGTCTTCCCATTGTTCTGAAAGAGTGGCTTGTGATCTTCCTGAAATGTTAGTACTCATGGACAATAGCAAACATTAAATGATATTCAATGAAAAAAAGTTTAGGCAACATTATTTGGCATCATCAAAATCTCAACCTCGGGGTTATGGGTCACAACAATCTCCCCCTTTTTGATGATGTCAAATAATTTTTGTTGTTAGCAAGTTCGAAGGGCATTTTATTTTTTCATTTTTTTTTGACATAAGAACAAGAAAAACATTAAAGAGAAAATGAATAAGAAAAGCACTAAAGAGAAAATGCAATACGAAAGGAAATGCATTATATTTAACACAAACAAATTACAACATAAAGAAAACTACAACAAACTTCTCCCCCTTTTGACAGGACCAAAAAGAGGAGAAAACACTAAAGAAAGAAAAGTACAACACAAACACTTCAAAGGGAAGGATCCTGATCACTTGGTGGTGGAGGTGGGTGTGGCTGAAAGTAGTGAAGGATCGTGTCAAAATGTTGATCAATCGCATTGAACCATTCCCCAAACCAGTGCATGTCGGCCTCGTGTTGCTGATATTGCTCTTTAATGTGCGTATCGAGATGGGTCTGAAGTTGGTCTAAGCGTTCGACCAAATCGTCGTGAGGGTAAGCTGGTGCAGGAGCTCGGGGTGCTGTATGTCGTCGTGGTCGAGCTGGAGCTACTGCTGGGGCATCTTCTCCTTCTTCTTCATCAAAGATGGGTTCTTCAGACTCATGTCCCTGATGGAAAAGAATATGAAAAGCGACGTCCGTATAATAGATTGGAAGATTATCGGGTTCACTAGGATAGGTCAGTTGATATTTATTTTGAAGGATGTATCCTATAAGGTGACCAAGAGCTATATTTTTTTTGGCGAGTAGTAGGGAGACGAACGAAGGTCATATGGTGAATGTAGTCAATAATTAAATTAGCCTTGTCGAATTTGGTGTTGGTCATAATAAGATATGTAGCGACAGATAGAGTCGGAGTCATGTTAATACGGTCACCAGCTTTGGGTATAATGGAGGTTCTAAGGACGTGTTGAATGATTCTGGAGTTTCGATTGAGTGATTGTATGAGAGGTTGGTGTTGATAAAATGTGGCATTCATAAGGACTTGATTAACCTCACTCCAGTCAAAGTCATTCGTGAGAAATGAACGAATCATAAGCCCTTCAGTAGATAGCCCAATGTATTGGGCGATGTCGGCTTTTGTAATTTCGACATTTTGATGACAAACAAAGGAGTGAAAAGTGAGGTTGTCGACGGTGTAGGTTAGGTTTGCAAGGAATTCTAAAAGGAGTTTAGGGTTGTATGGGAAGTCCAGGGTGAGAAGGAACTGGAGGGTGGTGGAAGCAAAGAGGTTCAATACCTCGAAATTCAGAGCCTCCTTATTAAGCAGTCTGGATGGTGTAATTTTGCATGCTTTGAAATTATGGTATGCATCCTCATTGTCAGCATTCAAGAACTGAGCGCTGTGGCGGCGAGAGGAAGACGAGCTTCCCACTACCATACGACCTATCTTGCTTGAACTAGTCATCGTGTAGAGGCTGAGTGAAAGGTGATAAGGAACAAGTGGAGGTGAGTGAAGTGAGTTCTGCCTTGCCAGCCAATTTATAGAGTTTTTCCAGAATCATACAGTATGATAGGATATCGTACAGTACGATATGGCATTAATTATTCTAACGAATCATATCGGGAAAAGGTGGTCAAGGCGTATAGTACGATGTGTATCATACAGTACGATCAGAAGAATATTGATCTTCCCAAGGGCGTCAGTACAACTTTTGACCAAAAGTATCGTACTGTACGAACAGGTGTATCATACGGTATGAATGACATTAATATCGTACCAAACTCCTTTATATCATTCTTATCCGTTTGCTGAGGTGGATCGTACAGTACGAAGTGGATATATCGTACAGTACGAACACCAATAATAACATTCCAGCAAGCGTAAATTTGTCCCAATCTGTTGATGATGTGGATCATACAGTACGAATAAGAGGGATCGTACCGTACAATGAGCAATAATGTATCGTACCGTGCGATGTAGGTCATACAATACGATCAACAGAGACGAAATTTAGATGTTGGTGTGTTCTGTGCAGATTAAGCATATCGTATAGTACGATTATCATACCGTACGATAATACAAGGTCAAATTTAGTGATTTTTGTGTAGTGAGTGTGTGATGATCAGGAGCAGCCTTAGAAGATTTTTGTTATTATTTTTTTTTGTTTTATGCAGTTATGTCTATGACACCTAATCTAGTCCTCAAGGTGCTAAAGGTGTTGAATGCTAGAGGTTTTATGAATATGTCAGCCAATTGATCTTTTATAGCAATGTGATGCAATTCTATATCTCCCTTAGCAACGTGATCTCTAATGAAATAATGTCTAATATTTATGTGTTTTGTTCGAGAGTGTTGAATTGGGTTCTTAGAGATGCAAATTGCTCTTGTGTTGTCACACATAATTGAAATGGTTCCTACAGGTAGGCCAAGGTCAGGAATTTGTTGTTTTAACCATAATACTTGTGCAACACAACCTCCTACTGCAATATATTCTACCTCGGCTGTGAAAAGTGCTACTAAGTTTTGCTTCCTACTGGACCAAAAAACTAATGATTTTCCGATGAACTAGCAGGTACCAGAGGTACTTTTTCTATCTATCCTAGATCCAGCAAAATCAGAATCTGAGTACCCTAAGATTTCAAAGGAAGTGTTGTGCCTAGGATACCAAATTCCTAAGTTTGGGGTGCCTAGTAGATATCTAAGAATTCTCATGACAGCAGTTAAGTGAGACTCTTTAGGATCAGCTTGAAAATGGGCACAGAGGCACACACTAAACATTATGTCTAGTCTACTGGCAGTCAGGTAAAGAAGGGATCCAATCATTCCTCTATATTTTTTTTGATCTACTGATTTTCCACTAGAATCTTTGTCTAATTGAATTGTTGAGCTCATAGGAGTGTTCATGGGTTTAGGACTACCCATTTCGTATTTTTTCAAAATATCCTTATTATACTTTGTTTGTCTAAGAAAAGTTCCATTATCCATTTATTTTATACTAAAGCTAAGAAAGTAGTTAAGTTCTCCCACCATGCTCATTTCAAACTCATTACTCATTGTTTTTAAAAATTCATCACATAATATTTTATCTGAAGATCCAAATAGAATGTCATCCACGTAAATCTGAATAATGAGAATTTCTTCTTTAACCTTTTGTAAAAAAAGTGTAGTATCTACACCACCCTTTTCAAAACATCTATCCAATAGGAACGAGCTAAGTCTTTCATACCATGCTCTAGGAGCTTTCCTTAATCCATAAAGTGCCTTCTTTAATTTGAATACATGGTTTGGAAATTGTGAACTTTCAAATCCGGGGGGTTGCTCAACATAGACATCTTCCTTAATCACCCCAATCAGAAATGCACTATTTACATCCATTTGATATAACTTAAAGTTCTTAAAGCAAGTAAAAGCTAAGAGCACTCTTATTGCTTCTAGTCTAGCAACAAAAGAAAATGTTTCTTCAAATGTAGCATTTGATTTAAAAGAAAGAAATGTTTCTTACCGTCACTGTTCTTGCATGGGCCGATTCATCCTTCATTCCAAAGAACTATAGTTTTGGCCGGCCCCTCCAGCCCCACGTTCTCATTTTGGTCCTATGGAGATTTCACTCCTAGGGCCAAAATGTTGCTGTACAAGAAGGGTAGTGGCTGGAACCTTTGGATAGATCTTCTCTCTTGATCATAATATTCAAACATCAGCTCTCTACCTTAACTGAAATCTACTGCAGCTTGCTTGGTTGGCTTTAGCAAGAGCATGGAGAAACCAGATGGTATGTGAGCTGCTTGGAGACATCAACAGGAGGCTGGACCGTGAGGTGTATGGCCCCCTTTGTCTCTTGGCCGGCCCTAGTAGCTTTAAGAACGGATGAAAGAGAGGTCTCTCGTGAGAATGAGAGGGAGACCCATACCAAGGGGCGGCTGCTTCTTGAAATGGAGGCGTGAGGTGCCTCTTGGGGCTGAGACTCAAAGAGAAACAGGCATCAAGTAGAGAAATGAGAGCTGTAGCCGATCCACTCTTCTCCATCTCTCAAGAACAGTTGTTAATCGTATACAAAGAAGTAAGGAAACTGGTTTCTTTTGCTTGGACGGATGACTTCATCTCTTGAATGTTCTGAAAATGAGAGAGAGAGATAGCGGCTGGAGCTGTGTAAACTTCCTGGGGGCGTCAAGTGCAAGCAGCCTTCTTCCTCTCCAGCCAGCCCTAGCAACATATCTCCAAAGGAAAATGAGATCGTGAGAGAAGATCCAAAAAGTAGAAACAAACTCTTGGCCAGCCCTACAACTCCTCTTGACCGGATCTTTAAGTCTTCTCCCTCCTTTTTTTGCTTGAGCGGATGAAGGATGAAGGCACGGCTGAAGGAGTGTGGGAGGGATCGTGTCTCTTTAGCCGGCCCTAACAGCTCCGAAAAAAAATGTAGAAGGAAGTCTCTCCACAGTGGCGGCTGCTTGTGTGTGTGGATTGATCGTGGAATCTTTTTTTTAAACCAAGCGCCCTAATGCTATTATCAAGATCAAGAGGCCATCATCCCTTCAAAAGTTGATCGGATGGTTGATATCAAATACTTAATAAAAAAATATTTAGAGAGCTAAATCGAAGAGTAAATGTTGAATTATAGAGATCAAATTTATCAAATAACATTCAATTTAAATTGATATAGCATTGAAGTTAATTTAACTCAAAAGGAATTAAATCGAGCCGGTTAAAGCTAATGAACTTGATTTGCATTTGAGTCGAATTGATATACATTAAATTAGATCAATGGAAATCGTCAAGGTTAAATTTCATTAAAAATTGGTTCAAACTAACTCAATGATGCTCGATTGGATTTGATTAGAAGTTAAATTGGAATTTGATTAAGAGTCGGATGGGATATGTTTGGGACCTATATAATCGACAAGTGAGCACTTATCGATCATTAGGTCACCAAAATAAAACCCAGGTGGGTCCTAGTGACCTCATACAAAAATGAGGTCAACAACCGTACCTTCCACAAAAATGATTTGGCCATCCTCCTAGTCATTAACAATAGATTGAGTAGGCGCTTTATTAGTACAACTATTATTAAGCAACATAAAGTCCATATCAGGCAAGTTTTGGTTAAGAGCATAAGTACTAATAGTAGAAGATGAAATAATGTTTTAATTAGTAATGACAGCCAATATTTGCTCATCCACATTTGACAACCATTTGTTAAACAAGAGATAGATTTAATATTTTCTCCCTGAATACAAGTAGGTTCATTGACAATAGTGGATTGCAGCTCCATATGAATTATGGCAAGTTGTATTGATTCCTCAATATTATCCTGCTCTTTAGGGACATTGCCTTCAACCACATCAAGATTAGGAATCAAAATATCATGTTCAATCGAAGGAACATCATTTCAATTTAATTATTTGGAGGGTTCCTTCTCCTAATGAAGATAGGGATGTAACTTAAAACACACATTTAGCCCATAACCATGCATTTTATAGTGAGAGCAAAAAATGAGCAAATTTTCAATATCAACATTTTGGAAATAACCAATCAACTCCGAACTAATCCAAATATCATTAGGAAGTCTTACAAATATCTGACCCAACTAAAATATGATCCATAAATGGATGAGAGATATATGCCATAGCTTGGTCCGTCTGTAAAGGCCTACCCAAAATAAAAGCAAAGCCAAATAAAATTTGAGAATTAAAAAAGTGAAATCTCAGATTCGAGAAGGAGATCCACACAGAGGAAATAGGAGATTCCTCACAAACATCAAAATCCAGTGTTCATTTGAGCAATCTCTTCTAACAAGCTTGAATATAGTAAGATCTTCTTGAAAAAATGCGGCTATAATCCAAATCATTACTAAATTGGATCGCAATATGTCTTAGATCCAGCAAACTGATATGAAAGGAACTGAAAAGTTTCAGATTTATAAAAAACTTACGTATAACATCCATATTAGGATGCGAAAGAAGAAACTTTCCTACCAAAGTAAGAGCAAAAGGAGCGGCCAGCTGCAAAACCACAGAATCATCAAACATCAAAGCTAGATAACATTTAAAAAAAGTTTGGACAAACTGAAGTTTAGTAGAAGAAGATAAAGAGCCCACCAAAACTTCCTTAAAAGACAGAGATTTTCCATCCGAAAAAGAAGAATACGTTGGGATAGATGATGACGGTCGTCATCTCCCAAAGCCAGCAACCCCGAGAAAAAGCTCAAAGTAAAGCACAAAACTAACCATGCCAGGAATGGGGAGAAAGGAGTAGGGGAGAGGAAATCCTAGATCACCTCCAAGTCACTAGAGAGCAAAAGTAGAGAGCGCTGTAATTCACCCCCTCTTAGTTGTGCCTGGTCATTTACATTAGTGTTATAAAAAAGTATATTCATAAGATGGCTTAATTAGAAACCCTAAACAATAACTAAATAAAAATTTTAGCCTTCTCATACAGTAAAAAAGGGTAAGTTGGCTATGTATGCCACACACAGCTTTTAATTGATGGGCGTTATATGGTTATAAAGACATATGACCGACATAACTTATGGATAAAATAAGTGTAGCTTGCTCGGCCAACCCTTTGAAAAAAAAAAGCTTTGTCATACAATCCATCTGATGATTGTATAGTACTATTAGTATATTTGAGTAATTTTTAGGAAAAAATCTATATTTATTTGATCAGACTATTTGATTTAATCCTAATATCTCATATGTTTATCCATATTTGACTTTAATTAGCTTTTGGATATATGGACCTAACTTAGGCAAATTACTATATTATTACATAGCATAATATTTAATATATAGTAAGATTAGTTTAATTTTTTAATTCTATTGCAACTCGAGCTTATGAGTTTATGTTTTTTGAAGATAATAAACATTGTGGATCACATCATATTGTCTACTTATATTTGTAATATATTTTTGTTTCTTTGTGTACAAACTTTTTAGGAATATCATACACCATCCAATAAAAATTTAAGGCTCAAGATTAGGTAAAATAGGTTATATTATAACAATTTTTATAATATTCATTAATATATTTTTTATTTCTTGAGTCAAGTCCTGTAAGGATGTATGCTTACTTAGTAGTTATCCACACACACACTTAGGGGGAGTGAGATTGAGTCAAAACCAAAAGTTCAGTTTTGAACTAATCATACTAGAAGATTTATATCGTCCATGACAATCAGCTCATTGAACTAATCATACTGGATGATTTTGATCGTCTAGGATGATTCATTATGATCTTGGAAAATAGCCACCAATGATAATTTAGGCAAGGAATTAAGATTAAAATTTTTGTTCTAATCATCTTAGACTATCCCAAATTTAAGATCAATAAAAATTATGCCTAAATTGATCATGTGATTAGGGGATTAATTATAATTAAATTGTTCAATCAGATCATTTTGGATGATTTGTATATCATACTGGATGATGTTTGCTGACATACTTGATTTTCTTAAATTATCTAAGATGAAATACCATATTTTTTCTAATAATTGTCCAAGATGATCCACAATATTGTCATAGATGATATATACAAATTTGAACCGATCGTCTAGGACTATCTTGATATTGTCCTGAACTATTATGTCAAATTCTACACATCATACTAGACGATCCTGTGATCGTCCAGGATGATTTTTGGCACCAGAATTGAGTTTTAAGGGTTTTCTGAAGCTCACTTTTTTAGAACATCTTATGGGATGATCCTGCGATCGTCCTGGATGATTTTTTGTGCAAAAATTAAGTTTTTAGGATTTTTTAAGCCATTTTTAGCATATCGTACGTGACGATCTTGCGATCATCCTGGATGACTTTTGCCACCCAGATTAATTTTTAGGGTTTTTCAAAGCCCTCTATTTAAGCTTTGTCAAGGAACTTGATAAGTGTCTTTGACAGCCATTGAAGCTTCGTTCTTTTGGAGAAAACTTAAAAAGAGAACTTGAAAGGGAGAGAGGAAAGGGAGGAGTTTGAGAGAGGGAGAAGATCCTTGGAGGGGGTTTCACATGGTTGCTCTGGCAAGCTTACACCTTAGTACCATCGGACTCAAGGTTCATCTTGAGGGAGGTTTTTTTTTTTTGAAGAATTTTAAACTTGCATTAAGAACTAAGAAAAGCTATTACAAACTAATCAAGAAATGCAGGCCTCATACTCCTTCTTCAGAAGACTAGATAATGAAAAAGGAATATAAGGAGAAAGAATAGAATCAAAACAAAAGTTATTATGCAAATCAAGAGTTGCACATAAATCTGCAACTTTGTTACAATTTCTAAAGGTGTGATGGAAGATAACCTTATTGAAATCATGGAGGAAAGTAATCTTCTCAAAAATCTGACCATTGATAGTGGACTTCACAACGGAATCATGAAGAAACTTGATGGCATTATAGTTATCTCCCTCTATTATTAACCCTTTACAGTCGAATTTCCAATCTTGAATGAAATCTTTCAAAGAAAAAAACAGCTTCCAATTCAAGTTGGTTGATATCCCAATGAAGTTTTTGCTTCCCAAATGCAAGAAGTAAACTACCTTAAGAGTCTCGAGCCACACCTTCAATGCTGGCTAAATTTGAATCCAGTAACGATGCGTCAACGTTAATTTTGATCTAATCCAGTGGTGGGGGATGCCATGAGGTTTCGGACTCCCTAAGGAGGGTAGCATCCCAGTTAACTAGCAATGGATACTTATTTGTAGCTGTGAATAGAAAATTGGCAGCAATCACCGAAATAGGAATTGTTGGGTTACCCTGCTTCACATCATTCCTACGGTTTCAGGAGAAGAAAACCGTAGTGCAATAGATCATGATAATATCTAATCTAGCAATGGATAGACATCTCAGCTATTGAAAATAATCCGTAAGAGAGCTAAAAAAAGGAATATTAAATCCCCAAGACCTCAGCTTACTTAAAATCTCAGTAAGGGATTTACAATGAACTAAAACATGATCATAATTTTCAACTGCTAGGCAACCATAAGCACAAAGATCGCTATTACTAAGTTTTCTGATTTAAAAAATTCATTCGTGGGAATGGCAAACCTACTTAATCTCCACTAGAAGAGCTCAACTCTTGGTTTAAGCTTCAGCTTCCGAAGCTAATTGGCAAAACCAAAGTCATCAATAATTTTATGGCATTTGATAGATTCAGTGTAAGCCAATGAAGTGTTAGATTTCCCAGAGTGTTGATAAAGAAGTTCCATGTGGTCACCATCTCCCTCCTGGATAACACATTTAAGTATAATGAGGTTAACCAAATCAATGTTGAAATAACGGTTGAGTTCCAATAAGTTCCAATTACCATCTTCAAGAATGAAGCTCTGTAATGTCAAATTTTCAAGACTAATGCAGTCAGCAAGCATAAGCCATTTGTTGAAGAATTTATCAAGCAACCAAATGTCATTCATGACGCTAATGTTAAGACCATTAACTATATTCCACATAACAATTGGTTTAAGAAATGAAACTCCATCAGAGATGATGGACCGAGCTGAAGATTGGCCTTGCTTAGTCGTGCCACTCCAAATTGCTGAGCCGTGTTTAGCAACCAAACATCTATATAGAAGAGAGGAGGGTTCTGGTAAAGCCGCCAAGCTAACTGAGCTCTCAAGGGACCAACTCTTTTAACATTAGAGTACATACCCATGCAACCACAATCTCTAGGAATGCATAACTCATCCCAGGCAATGTAATTAAGACCCTTGATTCCAACATTCTGATGCCAGATGAAGTCTCTACAAATACGATCCAGCTCATAGAGAATCTTCTTGGGGTTCAAAGAATGTGTTGAAATAAAAGAACGTAGTAAAAACAATGAAGATTTGGCTAGAATCAGCCTTCCAGCAAGTGAGAGGAATCTAGCTCCCCAAGCATTAAGTTTTTCCAAGGCGTGATCAACTACAAATTGGAAGTCATTCTTGACCAATCTCCTCAGGGCAATTTTGATACCCATATATTGTAGCTCTTTGACAATTATGAAGCCTGGTTTATTGCCAATCTTACGTTTAATGGAAGGTTTAATAGATTTCCCAAAGATAATTTGGGACTTGGTCTGATTTATACCTTGTCCAGTCCAACCGCAGTATTCCGTAATTAAGTTCATCATAACGTGAAGCTGAGAAGAGGAAGCGGATCCAAACAGCAATACATCGTCAGCATAGAGTAAGTGTGTAATTCTTGGAGCTCTGGATGAAGTTTGGATACCTAGTTGATGACCTCTTTGCTTAATAACGCTGGAGAGAAGCTGTGGGCACATGATGAATAGATATGGTGACATAGGATAGCCTTGCCTAAAGCCACTCTTGGCTTCAATCCATCTAGTTCTTTTACCATTCAAGAGATTAGAAAAACAAACATTGGTGACACATTCCAAAATAAGGATCGAGAACTTCTCCGGGAAACCAAACCAGGAAAGAACATTTTCCAATGTCTCCCAACACATGCTATCAAAGGCTTGAGCCATATCAAGCTTGACAGCCATAAGACCCTTCTTATTTTTTGAAATTCTAAATTTGTTAAAGATTTCTAAAGCAAGAAGGCATTGATCAGACATAGATCTACCCGGAATATAGGCTACTTGCTCCTCTGAGATGAGCTTGGGAATACAAATCTTCAATCTGTTTACTAGCATAGCAGAAGCAATTTTATATATGGTTTGACAAAGACTAATTGGACGAAAATTGGAAGGAGTTACCGGTGACTTGATCTTAGGGATGAGAACAATCAAAGTATCTTTCCAAACACCATACATACATCCAGTAGTGAAAAACTTCTTGATAGCTTTCCAAGTAGCATCTTTGACAATGTCCAAATAGAATTTAAAGAATGATGAAGTAGAACCATCCAAACTAGGGGATTTATTTGATCCTTGCTGGAAGACAGCAGCAGAGAATTCTGTCTCAGAGAATTCAGCTTCTAAAAAGGCTCTATCGGCAGTATCAAGCAGCTGATTTTGTTCAACAGAAGGCCAATTCAAATTTTTGCATTCCCTGAATTTCCATTTATCTTCAAATAAGTTTAAGAAAACTGACTCAATTCTATCAGTTTCATCAACAACATTATTATTCTCTTCCTTGATTTGTCTAATCAATTAACCATTCTTCCTAGCCGTAGCATATGCATGATAAAATCTTGAATTGGTGTCTCCCTCCTCATTCCAATTCGCCTTAGCACGTTGGTTCCACCACATAGAAAGTCTAAGTAAGGTAACATTAAGTTCCCTTACCTTACTACGCAGCAGAGTAAGATCGTCTAGACTGAGACCGCCATCAGCTTCTTCTTGCAATTATAGTTTAAGAATGTCATTCTTCAGCTCCTCTTTCAATTGAATCAGATTTTTACATTTGTTCTTGTTCCAGAAAAAAAGAGATTACAAAGATTTATTAATCTTCCTATTAAGAACTTCAAATTCATCGTAATAATCATGCTTATTCCAAGCATTATCAACAATTCTACTGGTAGCTGGATATGATTTCCAGGTATCTTCAAATCTGAAAGTTTTAGGTTGAGAATGTATAGCTTCATCAAGCTTGAAAGCAATGGAACAATGGTAAGAGGCTATTCTAGCAAGATGCCTAATC